CACATACTCTCTCCAGTACAGGTTAGCTCTGAGTGTTAGCGATGCGTGCTAATGTAAACAAAGACCATATTACGTCCAAAACAGTCCAGCATTGTTTCTGATAGCAACTGTCTGATAGGGCCGTGGGTCCACATTTCCGATATGACGTCATATCGGACGCAAATCTGGATCAGCTCCGTTGTTTACCCCGTTTTTAGAGATGTGGGTACGGAGGAAAAGAGAAAGGGTTTTATTTTCTGACGCTGCGTGAGTTCCCTGACACACCGGGGACACATCTTTATGTAGAAAAGACATCAAAAAGTGTATTTTGCATAGGTCCGCTTTAAGTGATTACAGGCCCGGGGTGCATCCATTTTCTCTCTATTAGCTTTGACAAAACGTGGACGTGAGGGTAAAAATACCAACAATACTATAACTAATATTTGGTTGTAAATTAATCAATAAGTTCAGCATGAAAACTTTAAAAAATGCCTTGTAAAGAAAAGAGACTTATACATTTCATGTGGAGAATTACAAAGTCTGACACCCTGCCTGAGAGCGGGATGATCCGTCACTTTAAACCTTTTTGTCTAAAGACTTAAGCAGACAGAAAAATTATGCCCGAGGTCAAAATGCCTTTCCAAGATAAAAGAAAATTCTTTAAAAAAGGAATTTAAAAGATTTGGGATGCAGCTTGAAGAATTGCCCTTGGCGTTTCTACTGTCTTTCCAATACTAAAAAGAACCTGTATTTCAATTATATTTTCTGGTTTGGAGATATAGTTGAGTATCATCTGCATAACATTAGAGCTATATACCTGTTAACCAAGTATTGAATAGGTTCTACGATTAACTGTTGTTTTTAGAGATTTAGGGCAGGAGACAGGATTTCTTTTATTTATATATACACTTATATTTATTTCGCGTTTTCTTGTTTTTAATTATTTGTTTGTGTAGATTCTAGCAGATTCGTTATTGATTTTAAATTAATTAATCTAAAATGTCAACATATTTCTTTTGCTGGTTTCTATTTCTAAAGTGTTGATGTCAAAGACGCTTTCATACCAGTGTTTTAATAATTCTAATTAATACTTGGATGCGTCTCTCTTGACCGCAGCGGCAAGATAAAGGTCTTCAAATGAAGGCAGCAGGCAGGTGGCGAGGGAGGGGAGAACTGAATGGGGGAGGGAAGGAAGGGGGATGGTATAATCAGAAACATAAAAATAGGCACTGATTCAGATACATACTGAGAAATGGACCTTAACATGTGTGATTGTCAATGTCTCTCTCTACCTCAACGCTAACCTTTCAACCTAACTGATTTATCTGTTTATTTGCACGGCATTTTATTTTATGATCTGTCATTTAGTTGTGTTACCCTTTCAAGTGGAGGACTCCTGTTTTGTTAGAATTGTCATGTCATGTACAACAATAATGTCATTATTGCTTTAAATTCATATTTTATGTGAATCAGATTTATTTGACCCAGTCTCATATGCTTTATGAGAGAGGGCCATCACGCTGTAAACTGCTAAGGACCTTTTAATAACTTTTTCAAGATCTTGTTTGGATGCAGTGTGAAATTCCACCCCTAAAAAAAGAAGCAACGTTTGGCTAAATTGACTAAAACTTGATGAAGTAAACAACTCCCTTAACTGCACCAGCATACCACACATCCTCACATATTGGCTCATTCATCTAAGAGATGCATACCAAGGCAACATGCATGGTATGCATCTCTTAGATGAATGAGCCAATATGTGAGGATGTGTGGTATGCTGGTGCAGTTAAGGGAGTTGTTTACTTCATCAAGTTNGTCGGTGTTTACATTAGCATCGCTAACACTCAGAGCTAACCTGTACTGGAGAGCATGTGTGTGAAGAAGCAGGAAATAAAAAGGAACTCACCTTGTGGTATAACCGGCAAGAGAGAAAGCCTTTGAGCTCCATCCTGTTTCAGAAATAATCCTTGATAATCCATGATATGGCGTTTCATCACGGCAGTATTTAGTTTAGACAGTAGCTGCCGGGTCCCGCATGAGCTCAGCCCCCTCTTTTATCAAATCTTTATTTTTTTAAAGCTTTATACCCCAAATCAGCACTTTTGAAACAGGAAGTGAAATAGAGGGATATGAGGCATGGCTAGAATGGGTAATCTGTTTGGTATTTTGAGCAAAACACTTTCATAGACATGTTATTTATATATATCTGAGACCTATGCTATTGCCTGAAGATAGCATGATAGGTGCACTTTAAATATGTCCCAGTTTATACAAAACATCCTCACACACACACACACACACACACACACACACACACACACACACACACACTTCAGTCTTTATACGGAATCTAAATCTCTGTAGGGATTGGTCTATTCTCTGGAATGTTGTTCATCAGGCCCATCGAAACACACAATCACACAACATGCGCCCTCCTCGACCAGTTGGCATTATTTATGAGCAGAGGCAACACCCCACACACCTGTAGCTTCTTCAGTCGATGTGTTTTAGGGTGAGCAATTGGGAAAGAGTATGATGTTATTGGGTCATTATAACAGAGCAAGAAAACAAAAAACCCTCATGGTTTAGTCTGCGATTAGAAATGGGCTCTGGGTTGGGAGGTCAGTGATTCTAACCAGTTCACATGGAAGCCATTTTTTATTACAACATTTTTCCAGCTTCCCTCAACATACATGTAGGTTTTTTAGGCAAGGCACTCCCAGCCCCCAGCAGATCTATATGATCCAGTGACGAACAGCAGAGAAAAGGTTGTGCAACTGGCCTGCTCCCGGCTGAAAATGAAAACCTTCCCAGACTTCTTTTGAGTTTTGAAGTTAATGAAGTGAACATTACAAAAGGAAACTCAGGCAAGTTTGTATCATTTAAATAAAACAAAATGTTTAGCTTCCACGAGGCAGAAGGAAATCAAAAGACAATTTGGCATCAATTAATGCAGTGTGCATATTATATTGCATAACCTCCTAACATTGTTCCCCACCTCCTATATTGTATTGCAGCCCATTTTATGAGAAAGTTCATGCACTTTGTTGAGCTTGTCCTTAACGTCAGGTTAAGCACCTTGTCAGACACATTCCTGGAATAAGTAATACACAGATATAGTCAACTGCTAAAGATGCATGTTGCCTTGGTATGCATCTCTTAGATGAATGAGCCAATATGTGAGGATGTGTGGTATGCTGGTGCAGTTAAGGGAGTTGTTTACTTCATCAAGTTTTAGTCAATTTAGCCTAAACGTTGCTTCTTTTTTTAGGGGTGGAATTTCACACTGCATCCAAACAAGATCTTGACAGAAAAGTTATTAAAGGTCCTTTGCAGTGTACAGCGTGATGGCCCTCTCTCATAAAGCATATGAGACTGGGTCAAATAAATCTGATTCACATAAAATATGAATTTAAAGCAATAATGACATTATTGTTGTACATGACATGACAATTAATGCAGTGTGCATATTATATTGCATAACCTCCTAACATTGTTCCCCACCTCCTAGTATTGTATTGCAGCCCATTGACAAAAAATATTTTTTTCATTTACTTTTTTTTTTTTTTCTGCACATCAATAATAAACAAACGTTTTAAAAAGAGCTATATGAAATTGTGCAAGACTTCAAAGATTTGTTTGGGAGTAACACATGCTAGATTATTGGCAGGTAGCTATATTGAGAAGTTTGCCTATGTCTCTCAGACTGCATCTGTCTGGTATCAAATTACAGTTTCTACCAAAACGACTGAAATCAGCCAAAAAAAATTAAGATGTTACATTTTTTTAGACTGCCCAGGACCAATTCCTCTTTTGAATCTCAGCGGGTTTCTCACTGCTTTTTTGAAATACAAAGTCAACTGGCATATAACCCTGATAAACATCTTTTGTAGGTTAAACAAACAACATATAATGTGTTAATAAGTCAGCTTTAGAGGTGCCAGTAAAAGGACATATAAACCATCCGACAGAGCTAGGCTAGGTGTTTCCCATTGTTAACATTCTTCTTCTTCCTCACATAATTCTCAGAAGGAAAGGGAATTCGCCTATTTCCCCAAATTAGCTTTTTGACACACTGGCATAATTTTTCCACACAAATAAAAAAGTGACGTTATGTCCGGGATTTAAATGATTCAAGCTAGTAATGTGACGTAATGTGGCGCTTTGGTACGAACGAAGGGAACCGAGTCGTACTTGGTGAGAGCCGTTCATTTTATCGTTGGTTCACTGCCTGCCATAAATCCACTCGCCTGTAAAGGAACTTGCTTTCCTGAATGCACATTTGCCATAGATGATGGCATAACACATGCTGCTTGAGTAGTAGTTTGGCTGGCTGAGNACACAAGCATGCGGTTTGATTGGCTAGAGCTTGTACTGGCATATGATTTGATTGGCTGACGCTTCCGTCGAAGCTCCGAAAGTTGAACATTGCTCAACTTTTGAAGCGAGCAACGCGAGCAAAGCGAAGCAACGCTCCCACAATGCAGTTCGGCAAAGCGTGACGTCACCCCATTCAAAGTGAATGGGCAGAAGCGTTGAAGCTTCAACGCACGCCACCGTGTGGACGGGCCGTATAGCCTAGGCTATGTAAAGCATACACACGTTTGGAGGGCCTCAGAGTATATCTATACTATTTGTAATTGATTATTCACGATTCAATTATTGATACATCATGGATTATTCTAATTCATTCAGTCAACACTTTTGAAACAAATACATTGAAAATATTGTATAGTTCAGCCTCTTGGATCATCATATTCAGTTTGGTTTTTAAATTATTTGTGTTAAGAAATAATGTATTTAGAATGACAAGGATAGGTTTGTAGATATACATAATTATACTATGTTTTGCTTTTTGGATGCATCTATGGTTTGTATCCTTCCTTTCACACAATTAAAACACTGTTAGGTTTGAAGTGTTGGCAGCAGAAGTTTCCTGTTACATATTTGAGTGATTGGTCACCTCACTTTAATAACGATAGAGATATTCTGCATTGGCATCCATTTTCATTTAGAATTTCCTATTCCATTTTCTGCCTATAATAAGTAAACCCGTCAGAGATTGACAGTCTATTGATGAAACAATTGATTTATTGCATGCATTGATTGTCTGTGTACATCCTGTCTGAGTTTGGTTACATTGCTATTGGAGCTACAACGAGCCGTTAAAGGCAGAGAGTGAAATTCAGTGAATACACGTAGTTTACAGAGATGCTGTATGAGAAACCAAAGTGATTTTGGAAAATTGCACAATATAAATCTATTCTAGTAGACCTCAACAATGGAATTATGATCAGTGGAAATGGCCATGACATGGGACCTTTAAAGAGATACTGTACATTTCAAGGCAAACACTGCCCTATTTTTACATTACTGCGAGGATCCAAAAAGGAACCACATTAACAGTAATCTTCTATCTTTGTAGGCGTTATAAACAAATGGTTGTGACTGTGAATTCAGAAAAAGAAATGTCACTGTTGTTACAGCAATTCATTGAAAAGGTTATATTGACTTACTGTTGTGTGTGTAGGAACACAATGACACTAATGCTATGCTAAAGCTATTCAATTGACTGACATGACTATGAACACACGAAAGGTGCAGCTCACATCAAAGTAACACACACACACACACACACACACACACACACACACACACACACACACACACACACACACACACACACACACACACACACCAAAACCTGTGTCGTCTCTTCCCTTCTTTGACAGACTCGACATGTCAATCAAACAGTGTACAGACTAGACAGAATTTATTACAACAAAAAATTGCATAATACTGAATTGGATCCATCCCTTCAAATGTACCTTTAAAAAACAGTGTATAGACAACATAAAAGGACCACCTTACATCATAATACAATCAATTAAATTACTACAAGTATTGCAAGTTAGTGTAAATATGCTGTAAAATCTTGAGGGCGTATATTCACATCACCATCAGTACCTTTGATGATGAATTATTTTAGTATCTACAGATGCGTTCTAATTTTTACCCATTGTTCTGAATGAAGGAATCATTAAATAATAATGATGAGTCCTGCTGCTAAGCAACTATGAAGATGGGGCAGGAAAGTACATGCTGGCTGAGTCAGACAGTGAGTCCAGACTGTGGCATGTGACCTGTCCTGCTCAGCCACCGCTGGGCCAGGAACGTCACTTCCTGTCTTCATTTAGAGGAGTTGATGAACCAGGATTTTTTTCAGACAGCTGGCAACCTGTTTGTTCACATGGTTATTACATATTTGAGGATATTGTGGTCTTTGGCCTTGCTATTTATCAGATCTGCTTTTAAATTATGAACCCTACTTAACCCTAAGGTCTTCGGTTTCATCTGTTTTATTCAGTTTTATTGTGTTGCACTGTTGGACGAGCCTGTGACCTAAGATTTTCATTGACATAACTACACTGTAGCTATGTACAAATGACAATAAAAGCCTTGAATCTTGAATCTGCTGGCCTTTAAATTATACCAAGTTAAAACAAAGACCCACGGTGAGGCGTCTTTTTAATATTGCGACCCACGATTGTGGAACAGCCTCCCGGAAGACCAGCGTTCATACTTTTAAGATACATGGTTGTACAAAGTATAGTGCATTGTGTGCAGGAATATCCAAATGTATAAATAGGCTAACTTCATGGCTGGTTACCAAAGAAATGGTATGTCGAGTAGGCTGTGTTTAAAGGTATTTGTTTGAACTTAATCCTATTGTATGGTTTAAGTGTTGCTATGTTTGAACATGGCATTTACATCAGTGATTAGATTAACCCGTTTGTGTTCGAGGTGTATGATAAAAAGTACTGGTTATACGTGATATTTTATGTAAATGTTGCAATACCACAGTGTAGAAGTGCTTATACTCTTGCATCCAAAGTTTGATTAAAAGAACATGTTGGCATCAAAATAAACTTAAAGTACATATATTAGTCATAATCGATAATAGCTTGTTTAAAAAAAAAAATCATATTATATTATACTTTGTTCTAATGTGTAATGTTGTCGCTGCTAAAAGTGTAGATAATTTCCACATCTTTATATACTGCTGTGTAGCTTGTACATTTCCAACGCTGTTCAATTATCACATCGTCATTATGAGTTAATTTATATTTTGTATTACGTAATAATCTGAATCTGTAAAATAACTAAAGCTGTCGTGGACAAAAAAGTACGATATTGGCTTTTAAAAATGTTTGGAGTAGAGGTAAAAAGTAGCATAACATATTAAATACTCAGGTAAAGTAACATTATACTGAAGTATTTATAAATGTACTTCACTACATTCCACCACTTGTTATATAATAAATGAAAAACCCTCTAAATTAGCCCTTTCTTAGAGGTATCCCATGGTAACAATATATATATTTGTATCTCTCTCTACGTCTGTTCAGTGGAAGGACTCCGGGTGATGGTGAATGTCCCTCCTGTCCTGAAATAATTCTCTATTTCCTCAAGCGATCGGCCTCGAGTCTCTGGGACACACACGGCGGTGAACAGCAGGCAGAACACACACACCACGGTGAAACACAGGTAGGGCACGAACAGGCTGTGGTCCTCCACCAGGTGAGCGAAGGCCTGCATGATGGCGAAGGCCGTCAACCAGCTGACAGCCACACACAGACCTGAAGCCACGCCCCTGGCTACCAGCGGCAACACCTCCGACATTAGCAACCATGTGATCGGGCCCCATCCCAAGGCGTATCCTAGGAGACAACAATAGGACGGCAAAGATGATGTCGTTGCACAACAAAAGCCCAGAAAGCCGTTAGGGCTCGGTCACATCCTGCTTTGATTTGTTTTTCTTATGCTCTTTGTTTTATTGTATTGAAAAAATGTACTCAACTAATTATTTGTTCCCTTTTTTAGTTGAGATTTTGGACAGTCGAGAGCGCTATATTTGTTGGCTGCCTCAGGAGATCGTTGACAAAGTTCAAGGGTCAACAAACATTACTATCAAAAGAGCAATTTTGCCCCCTTTGTCACAAAATTAAGTTTGTCTGGAGCCGCAAAACATATTTGATAACACAGCTTAAAACGTATGTATTTTGTTATGCAAAACTTCTGTCTATAAAAAATGTTGTTTGTTGCATTTGTGAACTTAGACAATAAAGAAAAATGTTGTGACATAAAGTCTTGATTGATATCCGTGTATCTAGGAAATCACACAACCACTGAAACTGAAAAGTTTGAAATGTTTTCTCATTAAGTAAGGTGTGCTAACATAATTGACCCATTTAAGTGAAGAGCAGAAACAACATGTGGGTGTTGACGTGTAACAGAAAGCAGTTAATCATTCTTCAAGAACAAACTGTGTGTAACAATGCCCTGAGAGCATGAACTGAGTTTGAACATAACAGAAAGGTAATCTTCTACAAACAGAACGCGCTTCGTATTTATTTATTTAACGGCTCTTTATTTTTCTCATACTGCCTGTGCTGCAGCACCTCTTTTCACCCTCTGTCTGAAACCAGAGCCCAGTCTGCTCTGATTTGTTAGCTGGCCAGCTCTGTTGTGATTGGTTCAAACCTTAGGGATGTCCCAGCCCTTAGCCAATCACGTACAATGTGTTGGAGCACTAGTCAATAGAAGCATGAGTGTTACATAGTGATGTCACTCTGTTACAGAAGTAAACAAAGTCACTAATGGAGACATTTCAGGCAGGGGGTGAGTGTGGGAGACAAACTCCCTCTGGAGGCAACTTTTGGATTTTAGTCTTTGCAGAACATTTACATGCACAAAAACCTATATAACACACTACAGGACAGGGATAACCCTCAAAAGCATAATAAGGCCCCTTTAAGATATTTAAATCAAGAATGAATATTGTCTGAAACCAAAGTTGTGATTAGGTGAACCAAAATGTTTCATCAAAGGAAGATAGCTTTCAACACTCACCAAGAATAAACACCATGGTGCTGATGAGAGGTATGAGGCCTGCTGAAGTTTGCTGGCTTGCCTCCAAAGTGCTTGCAATGGCATCATGGGAGATAGTGAGGTTAAGAGGGGTGGGGCCTGGAGGGCATGGTGTGATGTGGGAGTTAATGGTAAGAGCCAGACTGGACAGGATCATCAACAGGCTCGACGTGTACAGCAGGGCTTTGCGTCCCGCCCTGTCCATCAGACTGGCTGCCACGGCAACAGCGAAGAGGCGGAACGCTCCAACAATGGCGGCATCAAACCTGACAAACACCAAACGAGAAAGGTCAGTTTCTATATGATTTGTGATTAAAGATAATTATGTTAATTGAAGTTAGAATCTTCTTCGTAGTTTAGCCCAGCCTTTACCTCGGCTGATCATACATTTAAAGCCAATGCAATGACACTTACACTGGTTCGTTTTATGAAAAGCTAATGTATTTAAGGCAGTTTTTTTGAGTTTGTATCATCATGGTTAATTGCAATTAGATTTAGGGTTAGGGTTAGGAATGGATAGACCCCGGGTGCAAATAGCAGTCTTGACTATACTCTCCCGGGTAGAAATGATATCTAAATAAGAAATGTTATGCTACGTAAGTAACATTTATGGTTAGGGTAGGCCCAAACTCTGAGTGTATTTCTTTATTTATAAAGCACATGTTCTAAAAGCATTGAAAACAGCAACACTTCCATGAGTCATGACAATTAAATAATAATATAGGAATCCCAATAAATAGGCCTACTGCAGATAAATAGTAGGTGTATATAGATATATTTTTTTTAAATGCCCAACCTGGCAGGCAGGGAGACTTTGCTTTTGGCAAAGATGGGCTCCATGAAGACCAGGATGGGTGTGATGCCCGTCATCTGCTGCAGGAAACGCATCACCACTGAGATGAGGATTGGCCGGTAGTACACGGGTGTGGCCAGCTGCGACCACGTGACTTTAGCCTGTGTGTTGATGCTGTACTGCATTGGGAGACAGAAAAACCAAGGTGTGTGTCCTTCGAAATTGCTCACAAAAATTGCTCTTGTCGTCCAATGACAGAGCTGCCATTATTGGAGGATCTCTACACCCAGCATTGTAGGAAGAAGGCTAACAGGATTATTAAAGACCTCCATAACCCCAGAAACAAAGTTTTAGTCTGCAGCCTTCTAGCAGCGGGTATCGCAGTAACGTCAAAAAACACCTGATAGTTTTACCCCACAGGCTGTAGGACTCTCTTTAAAGTGTCACTTATTTAGTGTCTTTTGCACTATTTAACGTGGTTTTCTCAGTACCTGTATGTCATTGATCTCCACTTGTGTGTCGTAGTGTTCCCCCCTCAGCCACCGGAGAGCCTTCTCCGCCTGCTGCTCCCTCCCCAGTTTGATGAGCCTCCTGGGGGAGCTGGGCATGAATACCAGAAGCACAATCATCAGCAGAGCCGGGACCCCCCCCGCCACCGCCAACCACCGCCACCGTAACACCAGACCTGCACGTCAAACTCTCAGAATTGAACAGTTCATGAAAGAAATGTGTGAGTATTATGTTATGCAGGCCTATTGGTATGTTCCTACCCAGGGCGTAGAGCGCCAGGGCCCCAGTCACAGAGGTGATCTGAGGGCAGGAACCCATAGCCCCTCTCACTTTTTTATGGGAGATCTCTGAGATGTAAACCTGTCACATAAGCACACAAAAGAAACACACACATTTACAATAACCCAGTATTAATACAGGTTTTAGCACTGAAATTAAATTGTCACAACTGACATATCAAACTCTGATTAAACTGAGGTAACAGTAACAAAAAAGAGGACAATTTGCATGGCTATGTTATGAATAAGTTCCTGTAACGATGGTAACCTACAGGTATTGATCCTGCCGTCATCCCCCCGGCAACACCTGTGAGGAAACGGCCCAAAAGGAGCATCCAGATGTCCGAAGCTCCTCCCATCAGCAAGTACCTACATTTAAACAGAAGATAATTTTCAAAGAGGTTCATATTTGTACTTATTGCTTTTACTGTGACATGCTTACATGCTTTAATGTTCAAAAAGCACTTTATTTAATGAGCCCAGTCTGCTCTGATTGGTTAGCTGGACAGCTCTGTTGTGACTTAGCCTACTATGTGTTGGGTAGCAAGCCAATGGAATAAAAAAACAAACACAATACAGTTTGATGGATTACATTATAGATTACCGCAGTATCCGCACAAAAACCACCAGACTCAGGGACAGTTTTATCCCAGAGGCCATAAGACTGCTAAACACCTGAGCTTTGTTAAGTGTCCCGATAAACATTCCTGTTTGTCATCTTGCAATATACTAATTTATATAAATAGTTATCACCGCAATAAACCGTATTTAATTTAATCTTAATTTACATTATTTAATTTCATATTCTGTTCTTGTACATATCATATTGTAATGTATATAGACTCTTTGCACTACTTATTATTATTTTGTATTTTTGTATTTTATTATATATGTTGCATTGTTGGAGGATCTCAGGTCAGAAGAATTTCATTGCCATTTCTACACTGTAGCTTTGTGCATATGACAATGAAACCTTTGAATCTTTGAATCTTTGAGATGGCTGTATTGCAACAGAAACCCACCCAATAGTGGACGGCACTGCTGACACCATGATACTCAGCTTCCGTCCAATCAGGTCGTTGAGCAGCATGGCCCCCAGACCCCCTGCGGCTGCCCCCAGGGTGTAGATGGAGCCGAACCAGGCGGCCTCCTCCTTACCCATCCTGAGCCGAGGGTCCACATCGGGGCCCTGGAGCTGGGGCAGGACCGATGACGGGTAAACCAGGGAGTAACCGAAGTTGAAGTTCCCCAAGATGGCCGAGAAGACAGCCAGATACAGTTTGGAGTCATTGATCTGGGGCAGAAGGATTTGGAAGCTGAAACTCAAAGTATAAACTGCATACACACGAGGCAGGATCAAAGGGTAGATAGGTTAATGTTGAAGGGGAAGTTTCAATTAGAAGGATCTTTCAATTTACCCTTCCTTTCAAATTAAAGTAAATATCAGTGTCAGCAACATACATTTTGTGTCTTGTGGATTTCCATGATTTTTCTCGAGCACACAGAAGGGAAGTGTGTTATTTTCACAGTTAACCCACATAAACGCATCGCAGCATCGTCTGCATGACGACCAAGCTGATCTCTAGGAAATTGCAACAATTATATAACATTTTACCATTTTACTGCCCTCATCCACGCATTCAGCAGGATTATTGAGATGAAGTTGGTGTGAAATTTGCCTCATGACTCAAATGTATTATTAGTTTTCACTCAGTTAAGCCAAATAATGTGTTATGTCTGTAATTCATTCTAGCCTTATTTGACCTCCGATCTTCTCCATAAACCAGTTTCACAAACATTGAGTGTTAAACTTATATCGTGGCTTATATCAATCTAATAGTCACACATCAGATAGACGTCTAAGAAGTCGAGTTCTTGGCCATCTTAGGTAACTCTTTTCTTTGAATTCTAATGTTGCAACCCGAACCAAATATTTGCAACAGTTTAATCAGAAAGCAGCGCTCACATAATGTGGCTTCATTTTGTGGCAGGGCACATTACTTTTTCTATATCAGCAGTATAAGTCTGTGCATTTCCCTTAGACACACAAACAACTGCAACAGGTTACTGAGGTCCCTAAAAACTCTTGCTATTCCCATTACTCACTCTAAAAACATTGTTCAAATAGCACAAATTATACTTTTTATTTTTTTTATTTTCCTGTTTTCTTGTAGCACTGGTCCGTAGGTTTTACTTACTGTTACAATGAAAACTTCAATAAGTCATGAAATGTTGATATTTGTGAGCTATTTAACTTACATCAAACGTATTTACGAGTAAAATAAAAATATGCATAATAACAGTACAGATTTGTCTGGAATATCCTTGGTAAGCTGCACCCTTTAATTTAGACCTTTATCCCTTAACATGTTACAAAGAATGTATCTTAAAGCTCCAATACATCAATGTTAGGGTAGCTATATATGCTTTTGATGAGATTTTAAAATCAATAAACTAACAGAATTGTTTCCTACCTTGGATTCAGATGATGTTGATCTTCCTTTCAGCAGTGGAGTGTTTTCCGCCATGTCTGCAGCAGGAGACTGTCACGCAGAGGTTATCAAATCCAACGTGTTTGATTTGTGACCTCTGTTTCAGGATCTGTTCGTTCCCCTTTGCAAAGAGGATGTCATGTTATAAATAGTCACATAAAAACGTATCAATGTGGAAATCAAGCTTCGAACAAATGTGGTTAAAAATGAAATCAAACAAGTTAAAATGAAGACAATTTTGTCTAAAAACTGAAATATTGAGAGACAGACCTGTGTGTTGTCCAAGGTTTCCACTCAGACTGAATGAATCAGACAGTGGCAAGCTACATGTGGTCATAACGAAGAATGAAACTGAAATCTGTGTCAACACTGGACTTCCACAAGTGAAACTCAACTGGAATTAATAGTGTGAATTATTTAACATTTTCAATAAATAACTGAGTAGCTGTAGTAATATTTGCAAACTTAAAAAATATATATATAATTTATAAAAATGTGCTTCTTTTATTAACTTTTAAAGTTATTTATCAAAAATAATTACTTTCAAAATGACCAAAGATGTACTTTTTAATCTGTTCAGAATGACTTTGAATGAAGCACTTTAGTCCCATTTCATTTACATTGATTACAAATATAATGATCACACATTTGTGGAATAAACACTTAAGAATATTTACTATTTTCCGATTCAATAAAAAACACACGTGAGTCAGATATCACATTAGATTAGATTAGATTAGATTACATTAGACAAACATTATTGATCCCAGATTGGGAAAAGCTTTGTTACGGCAGCATGTTCACAAGCCATTATAATAAAATAAAAAGTAAACACACAGAGTAATAATATACAAATCAACAGAAGGATATTTATAGAGCATCCAGAGAAAAGCAATATGAACTAGAGAATGCAATTCCTGAGGAAATTGCTAGTGGGAATGCTTTATGCTGAAAAGCTGACGCTGAATTGCTATTCTGAAATGTAATGTGTAAGAAGAAAGTGAAGAATTTAGATTGAAATTATACATGAACACTGGGGGCTTGAAAGTGTGAAAAGAGAGGAAAAGAAAGTAAAAAAGCTTGGAAAAGCAGCAGAAAATTTGAACTGCAAACTATTAAGCGCACATATTTTCTATATAGTATGTCTATTTTATTTATATGTATAGTACGTTTTTATATTTTAAATGCACACTTCATCTTTAATTTTATCAGCACCACGTCACTATTATTTATTTATATGTACAATTTTAGCGAGTTTTTATATTGTCCTGTTCCTGTAAGCCAGTACAACGAAAATTCGTTTTAATAGTACACTCTGTGTCTTGTTGAAATGACAATAAAGTATATCTATCTATCTATTGAACTAACTTGATGACGAATGATCTGTCGCCATGGCAACGGTATTTAATGACACCTCATAATACGCTTAGATGTTTCGATGGCTGCATCGTTACCAAACCTATGAAGTTTTGGGCCGTTTGGAGCGTTTACACTGAAGTTATGAGAAAACCGTGTTTCATAGCGAGCATTGTGTTGCCAAGGCAACGGCATTTGAAGAAATTTCAAAACTGTAGATGTCTTCACGGCTGGACACGTGAAGTTTCAGCACTTTTTGACAATTTTCATAGGAGGTATAGCAATATCGTGTTTTACGGCAAGGGATGAGGAAAACTCACTAATGGCACATAGACATGTTGAGGGCTGGACCATTAACTGTCATCTGAAGTCTGGTAGTGTTTTGAACATTTTCATATCAGTTACGACAACATCGTGTTTTTTGGCGAGGGATGCGTTTCCATGGCAACAGCCTATGGTGAGATCTCAGATTTGGCATAGAGCTGTTGAGGCATGGACCGGTGATATACAAGCGAAGTTTGGGGGGCGATCGGACCGTGTCCATTGGAGTTACAGCGACATCGTGTTTCATGGCGAGGGATGCGTTTCCATGGAAACGGCATATGATGACACCCCATAATTGACATAGAGCTGTTGAGGGCTGGACCATTAACCATTATCTGAAGTCTGCTGCTGTTTTAGACCATTTGCATAGGTATCACGACAACATCGTGTTTTATGGCGAGGGATGCGTTTCCATGGCAACAGCCTATGGTGAGATCTCAGATTTGGCATAGAGCTGTTGAGGCATTTCCATGGAAACGGCATATGATGAAACCCCATAATTGACGTAGAGCTGTGTTAACCATAATCTGAAGTCTGCTGCTCTGAGCATGTCAGTTGGAGTTATGACATCATCGTGTTCCATGACACAGGTGTTTATATTTGAGCTAACGACGTGTCCAGAGATCAAAGGTTTCCATGGTGATGTGCAGAGCATTGTTCTGAATGAGAGATAAACCTCTTACATGTGAACGTTTTGTTGAAGAACCGTAACAGATATCGGTGACATTTCAAAGCGTGAAGCATGTCAAGGAACTTGAGCATCTGAAGTGTACTTTGTGTGTACTTTCGGGTTAATAATGTGGCTGCTGTGGTGGGGAAAGATGAGGCTGTACTTACAATGGGGTTTAATGGAGATTTGTTGAAGGTTTTTGTCACTTCATGCCCTCAAGAGGCATTTTGTTTAATTATTTAGCTTAATTTTTCAAGCTACGAGATGTTTTCCTACGTTTGTCATGAAAAATTATGTCTCAGGAATGTAGGGTTTGGGAATTACGGCAGTTTAAAAGAAGATATGAAGGCAAAATTAAATCTGTCCTCCACTCTAGCTGTGACATCACACACTCTAAAATCTGAAGAGGGCCTCTTTACCAAGGTCTGAACAATGTTTAATATCTCTAAAAGTACGAATCAGATTTAAAAGTTGTGTTACACGAATAATGTCAGAAAGATGTGTAACATTTTAAAGTTGGAATGAGGTTTCTGAGTGAAAGTATGAATGAACAGTTAGCAGTTGAAGTTGCATGAAGATTGTTCAAGTCTGAAGAGTTTCTCCATTGACTTCCATGTTAAAGATATGATGAATTATGGGATGTGTAATAGCCATCGATTCCCGACCGAGCTGAACATTTTGATGTTCGAACGGAGTTTCTGCGATGTGGAATGTGGGCGAAGAAGAGGTGCAAAATAACCCGACAGAATAATACAGAATTTCGTGCGTAGCACCCAAGCGGCAAACTCTGGGGAAAAGCCGGGACGCCAATACGGAAGTGCAACACACTGCAGTTCATACATGGGCCGCTAGGGACTGACTGCAGAAAGGAGCAATTTCCATAGACCCCCATGTTAAAATGGCCAA